CAATAACTGATACATTAAAATATAGATATATTGAACACCCAGACACCCCTGTCTAGAAAAATAGATTTATCTGTAACCTTGGAAACATGAATTTTGTTTTAGCTGTGTATTTAAAACCCAGTAATTTTAAAAGTTACTCCAAAATTCGCTTGAGGATGAAATGGAACTAATGTCTTTAATTTAATTACAAAATTAAATTCGGGGCTTTTAGCTTCCATTTTTCAAACATGGTTAGAACTGTGTAGCGAAAAAAAACATATTTTAAATCAATTAATTTATAATATTAATGCTCTGTAAATTTACTTGGAGCACTATTTTGCAAAAATAAAAATATCTATAAGAACACCGGATTATATATCTTACTGTTCTTTCTTTTATATATATATATATATATATATATATATATATATATATATATATATATATACGTTTTTGTGGACAGTGTGCAAAATAATCGTGCAAACTTTATCCCCTTGACTGATTTCCCTATCGAAGACGGTTCGTATATATAATACGCCACATATATCTTCAAGAATGCTTTGTTTATTTTTAGAAATTCATTTTAAACTTTAAAAATTATAATTAAAAAAGCGGTATGAAACAATTCTTGTAATAATTCATTAGTCATCGAAAGAGAATTTTTTTTTTATTAACGCTTCATTTATATTATTTATGATAGAAATTAAAAGCTTACACAATTAAATAATTAGATTGTTTTTATTATTATACTGTTTTTGTTAGGATTCGGAACATCCCTTGTGTAATTTGTTAATACCTTGAGAAAAAAATAAATTAAAAAAAAAATCTAATGATACGTTGCTCTTAGTAGGACGATAAATAAGCAGGCTCTGAAATTAAAGATAGAATCTACGGACTATCAAGGATTATTCAGACCTTCCAAAGTTTACATAAAAAATATTGTACTTTGTGAACTTTTGCAATAAACATAAATTTTACACTGTTCAATTATTAACGATAACAGGGAACTTTTTAAATTAAAAAATTGTATTTTGATTAAACGAAAATTACTTAAAATATAATAGATATTACTTACAATACATTCCTTTTTGTCGTCAATTTTGATGGAACGGTTACACTAGTAAACTAATAATTCACTTTAAAATATAGATAAATAAATAGAAATAACTTAAAATAGATAAATTTCTTGTTACAGAATTTCGTAAAAATATTTCTCATATATCCCTTGCAGAAATACTGTTCATAAATTAGTATTACTATTATTTCTGTGAGATATATGTGGGAGGTATTTTTGCCGCACCTCTTATACATAGGTTCAGCTTAAAATGATAGATATGGTTAAACTGCAGGTACAGAATATTCCTGGAAACTATCACTTAGGTATATACATTTTTAATAATTGCATATTAAAATCTCTCTCTCTCTGACTATATATATATATATATATATATATATATATATATATATATATATATATACGAAGAAATATAGTCATAAGATGTGCTATATTTATGGGATAAAGTGCTCAATATCAGAGATTGAGCGTGTGTAAATATAAATGGCTGACGATTGCATCTAGCATGAAACAGACTGTCGCCTCTAAGTGTTGACTTCTATGTTCACTTTTATATATATAAATATATATATAAGTTAAAGATTACACAGATAGACAAACAAGATATTTGAAAATTATGCTTGGTCATTTGTTTGATTTTGTATATGAGCGGGGAAAAGTTTAACCAGAAATTCACACACACAAAAAAGCACGCACGAACGAACCCATGCATACCTTATATATATATAGTGTAACCCGGATATAAGAGAGTTGTTGGGACCGGAGAAGTCTCTTATATCCGGGTTTCTCTTATATCCGGGTTTGGTCTATTTTATATACATTAACACAGACTCTAATTTGGGACCAGAGAAAATCTCTCTTATATCTGGGTTTCTCTTATATCCGGGTTACACTATATATATATATATATATATATATAGTGACTTTACAAGCGTAGCTTAGATGCGGCACACGGCCGAAAGTAGGGGCACCCAGTGAGGATCGAACTCACTACTCAGTCGTAATTGTTCTAGCGAGACAAGCTTGCTAACCATTACACACAGATATATATATATATATATATATATATATATATATATATATATATATATATATATATATATATATATATAAGTCAACACTTAGAGGCGACAATCTGCTTCATGCTAGATGCAATCGTCAGGCTACGAGTGGTGTTATTTTTCTCGGCTATTTATGTATATACGTCTCAGTAGTGCATTGTGTGTAATCTATTTTGCCGGTTATTTTACCGGAATTTGTTTATTTATTTATTTGGGTTAAATTATTTTGCTTGTTTTTATTTTTTATTTTTATTTCTTATCTTATATATATATATTTATTTATTTTTATTTTTTATTTTATTGTAATCGGTGTTTTTATTAACGTATTAAAAATTTGTTTATATCGCTTATTTAATAGTTTTGTTTTGGGATTGGAAGATAATTAAAGCTATTTATTCAATTTTGGGGTTGACTGTTTTAGTTTATTCTAACAATTATTTTGGCGGGGACAGTTTTTAATTTGTTTATTACTTCACGTATTTATTTGGATTGATTATCTTTATTTGTTTTTTCTAACGGTTAGTTTATCGGGATCAGTTTGTTAGTTTATTTATTTATTTGGATCAATTTAAGTCAATTTATTTTA